ACACTGGAAGACCATGTAAAGCATGTCAAAACTGTGATCAATATACTGAAGTGAGAGAAACTACACCTGAGCAAAAATAAACTGAAGTTACTCTGCAAAGAAATGAAAATACTAAGGTGTATAGTTGATGATGAGGGTATCCAAATGGATCCAGACAAAGTTGATGTGCTTGTAAAATAGAAGATGCCAACTGATTAGGAGCTTCTTGGAGCATTCTTGGCACTACAGGCTACATAATAGATAACATTGACCAAGTGAGGATTCCAATGGGAGTACTCCACAATCTAACAAGCAGTAGCATGCCATTCTGGATGGAAACACACCAGCATGTGTTCAAAGAAGTAAAAAAAGCATGCAGCTCACTGTTGTGACCATTATAGATGCCCATTAATGTATGGTCCTGGGGCCTCACCAGTGAACATAGTCACTGATGGCTACATCACCAAGATTGAAGGCATTGTCAATCAAAGTAAGGACTGGAAGAAAGCAACAGTGGCAGCATTTTATTCAGCAAAGCTAAACCCAGTACAACAGGACTACCCTACTCACAAAGTAGAATTGCTTGCAGGTGAGGAGACAATGAAGCAGCATCAGGACATCCTGCAAGGGGTCTCACTTTAAGTGGCATACTAACCACAAGAGGTTGAGACACTTACTGAGATAGAGGGACTTGTCTCTACAGCAGGTATGCTGGATGGCAAAACTATCTTTGAGGTAATCTATGTGCCTGGTGCAGAAAACATACTCTCTGATGCATTGTTGCAGCTATTAGGATTCTCCATATGATTTTTGTTTTGTAGTCAAGTGTTGGTAGTGCCTATATCAAAGGTAAGTAATTTTTTGTAATATGGAATAGTCTGTAGTGCTTTGTTTTTGTGTCAGTAAATTTTACAAGTGAAATTGTCTCATATCAGGAGTGTGTTGCCAACACAGGTAATGAAAAATTTATACAGTAAAAATGGAATGGCAAGTAAATGTTCTTTATGGTGCATATTTTGTAATGATCAGCTTTGCTTGTTTGGCTTGTATTAGTATATGAATGGCAAGTAAGAATGGAAATCAGATGAAAGTCATATATTCCCAACATGTGATGAGTCTTGTTACATCAGAAGTGTCTTATATATTGATGTTGTCTGTTCTCAGCCACTTTTGAGGCCTATCATCCTACCCCTTTTTTAAATTTTGACTGTTCCCAGTCAACCCTGTTCATCAGCTTCCTCAGATTTCAATTTATTACAATAAGTGACTATTACTCAGAAGATTGGTGGGACCTATTTTTAGCACCAGTCCTATATATAGAAAGCCTCCACAGTGTCTGTTTGCCCACTTTTCTACATGCTTACTCACCTTGAAAAGTACTGCCTTATTTTACAACCTTGAACACTGATGAGATGCATCTAGATTCCTCCTGATTGCACTAATCCTCTTTCAGATAATGCCCTTGTCAAAGCCTTTTTCTGAGGTTACCACTACCAACAGCCTGGAGGTTCAGGAACAAGCCACATGGGATTTGATTGCTCATGCTGATGAAATACTGGTGTCAGCTTCTTAAGTGGTCTCATTCCCATTGATGCACCAGTTGTGGTTTGAGTCCCTGAAGCACTTATTTGGGGTTTGGGATGGGTTCCAGATGGAGTCAGGAAAGTGGAAGAGGTGGAATAAAGTCAGGTGAAATTGTGGGGGTTGAACAAAAGGGAGGCTTGATGTGCTGCTTTTGGGAAGACTGTGGCTGGCAAATCTTGATGGTCAGCAGACCTCTTGGAAAAGTGCCATCTGCACTGCAGACCAGGTCAAGCTGATGCATTTCACCAAGCTGGCATCTGAACAACTACTCTTATGATTTTGGGTTTTGCAGGCAAGGCTCCATTGCTGATGGTTGCAGCTGTGGAGTTGTGAGATGAATCTGCCAATGGTTGTAAGCTCACCATTGCCTTGCTACTGAGAAGCTGAATCTAACTCTTAGCTTTTTGCTGACTTGGATGAAAAAGAAAAAGTGCAGGTGCTTCTAGAACTTCCACCAGCTAGTGAGACACCCTCAGTTTGGAAGAAGACTTCAGAAGGAAAGAGGAAAGAGAAAGAAAAGGTGCCAGCTGCAGAAGATGAGGAAGAGGAGGAGGAGGAGGAGGAAGGCTTTGTCATCCCAACAGAGGTAAGCAGCAAAACTTTATTTTTACCTGTGTTGAATTTGTCCTTAAGTTCACTCCTGAATCATTGGCACAGCTGTTGCCAAAGCCAATGCATGTGGTGGAGGATAAAGGACTGGAGGGTGGGGAGACACTCCCAGCCGGTAACAAGCCTGCCATTACTTTGGCTTCTTAAAAGAAGCAGGAGCAGGTTTGGGAGGAGCATGGCATGATAAGTCTGACTTTCACTGGTTTGACTTTTTGACTGACTCTTGCTCAGTATGATCAGTGGATAGCTGGAAATACAGCTGATTTGTGTTTGCACACATTAGGAGATAGGCCCTGCTTTAGGTGTTACACAAAGGTCAAGGATTATCTGTGGAAGTGAGTGGGGCAGCAAGTGCAGAAGAAGCTGCCCACTGATGTCACATGTCGATACAACTCCATGGACGAATTTATGTAACCCCTTAATTCACCTCGGTGGCTTATCTCTGAGTTGTCTACGATTCTCAGGCGCAGCGGAACCTATCTTGTGCATTCCATCGACACTCATCCTTGCTCTCTTCCTCTCCTGGTCTCTTCTTATGTCCCTCACTCATGGAACCTAAGTATATGAATACCAATACGCAGATCCCGGATGTAGAAAAACGCACCTGTTCGAGTCCCGTCAGCAGATCTTATAGAATAGCGTGACACGACAGGTTTTTTTTTGTAAGTACCATAATTTACAGATCCTCCTTGCATCCTTATGATCCAATATGTGTAAAAGCGTTCGTCGTTCCACGCTGGAGTCCCATCGAAAATTCCTCCTCCGAGATTCAGCATCTTGATTCTGATTCAATCTAGGCTACGCCATGATGTTGACCTTGCTAAAATTTGTCATCGATTCTGTTCCTTGTGAATCTCCTCCCACGTCCCGAGATGAAAAATCTTAGGTAGGTCATTCCACACCTTCTCTCGTCCTCTCGCATGCTGATCCTGCACACGCTGCAAACAGGGTGTACAAACCCCCAACGAATCCCAGTTATCATACTCGTGCAACGGGTGTGGTCTCTTCCTCAGCTCCTCCATGTATCTCCACGTCATCTGCTGCAATCGCAGGCTACACCCTTGCCTGCATTCCGGCGACTTCGCAAATTCGAATAAGAACTTATGTGTATCCTCCTTCTGACGTTCCCATAGCTGCGCTTTACCCGCGAGACAGAGCGCTTTATCTCGCCAGGAGAGGACCGGATCCGCGAGGAGTAGGTCAGTTTCAATGTTTGCGGAGATGTAAAACGCCCATGGAAGTATTTCGGGTACATTAGTCTCGCGCGCGAGGGGGATGGCGTTGACAACAGTCGTCGCATTGTATTGGTATCCTGAGGACACCAGCTCGTCGCATCCGTAGAGTGTTGTGGGGAATTTGTCACGCAGGATGTCAATGCATTTCTGGCGCATTATAGTAAGGTTGTACTTCGTGCTTATTTTAAGAATCCCAGATATGAATGCGAGAAGCTTGCGCAAGTCGGCATCTTGAGGTAGTTGATCGAAATAACTACATCGGGTCAAGGTAAGGTGTCGACGGAGAACTTGTTAAGCATTCAAACTTAAGATCGACCACTTACAACGGTTTATAAATCGCCTTGATGACTTCCGTGAAATCCTTCAGATTATCCTGCAAATGCACGATAGAACAGCCATCAGTCGAGTCTTCTCTCTCGATCGGCTCGGGAATCGTGAATAGGTCTGCAAAGACGTCCGAATGCTGGCTCAGAATTGACTTGTGAACACGAAATGCTGTATCTTCTACAACGAGAATGATCGATCCGTCATCATACCAGTATTCGCTACGAGATTGAGCTTCAGTGGCCATGGTTCGGAGGAAATGCTTACACCACGAGGTGAGGGTCACTGATCCGGGAGCGCCGACAGTACCTATCAACATATCAAATAACAGGTCGGTGCCGGCTTGTTCAAAAAAGTAATCCAGGCTTGCGCCTCCGAGATTTTCCGACATTGGTGGGTGTTATGATTTCCGTCGATGGTGCCATCAAATTTGCGAATCGCGATGTGTTTGAAATATTCTCCACTTGGTAGTCCAAGGAATTTAGCGGGACAAGCAATCCTAAAGAGTGAGACTTGATATCAATGATATAAAAGGAGTGATATCCAGTCGGGCAGCTTTTAACATTTCGGATCTTGAATACAGTGTTACAAGAGAGGAGAACCGTTGTTGTTCATGGCAAATTGTATTCCAGTAGACTGGAGATTGTAATGCAGCATTCCGCGACGTACAGCAGAGGCGGCAGATGGTCCTTGGTGAAACATCCATCGATAGCTCAACTGTCTGCAATAATCGAATAAATGACTTGACAGGGCAGAAGATGAAATGAAGATATCAGGGGTTTACACACATGTCCCCTTGGATACTTTTTGTCCAAACTATCGTGAAGGCTAAGTATTCAGGCTCGATTGAGGCACCTTTCGTTGTTTGGTTCGGACACCGTGGACTGTAAAAAGGGTTTGATCCCAGAATCCATCTGGCTTCATCATACTTCCCTGTACACTATAATCCTTCATAATTAACGTTCAACAATTGTGCCTGAATACAAGCATGCCAATGCTCCTGAACGAGTACCTGACATATGGGAAACAAATACGATTTATATTCACGTCAAATATTAAGACATCCTGAGCCTGTGGGGTCTGAGAGATCCTCGATGATCATGAGTCGTGACAAGAAACATACGAACTGCTGACATTTAACACCTCGAGGTGATTGAGAAACCACACCTTGAAAGAAAACATCCTGTTTATCAATGAAGCAAAAGAGCGCAATGAGTTGCCCGTAACACCAGATGCAGACCCAAAAATAGAACGTGACAATATTGCCTGTGCATTAAGGGGGAATCGAACCTCCGGCGGGTCGAAATTGATCAAATTCGAATGGCAACGACCCAGGTTACCACTACCCCATTAATGCTGCAGTTAGACTGTTGAACGCCCTTCAGTTAGACCCTCCGATATCTGAGATTCAAGTAACATCTTGGAGAGGGGATCGGAGAACCGCAAAAGCCCTTCGCGTGCTTCAGGGAAATTTTCGCCCGCTCCCGAGGTTGTAGTAAATCTCAATTGGTGATACGATGAAAAGGTCAGAACACACCATATTTGCACATCGATCAAGGACGAGCAATGACTGGGAAAGGATCTTGAGAGGGATTCGGAGGTGTTAATTTGGCAAGCTCTGCAATAATGTCACAACGATGGAAATCCCATATCAGAGGAAAAGCAGCGAATGGGATGCACACTGATAGCTTATATAATGAGAGACGATGATTGAGAAGTGAGATATACGCATGTAAGAGCATAGATATGTGTGTGCAAATACGCGGACTTGAATGTTCTGTTGGACTTTGGTCACTGAACTAAAACAATGACAATGCCACCATATACACTCATTGTTGGCCAAGCACTGTCTGCCCCCACTGTTTATCTATATGGCCACCACACTGTGAACAATATCCCCAAACAATGAGACATTGTTCACATACCTGTATATATATATTTCATGTACTTAGACAACCCCCTCAGTCACTTCCACTGGACTGAGGGTGAGTAATTACTTATTATCATACACCATGCACATACTGACTGTATCTAGTATTAATGTTCAGTCTCACTAGGTACAGTCTAATATATAGTCACTTCCACTGGACTGAGGTATTAACATTTGGTCTCACTAGACTGCTGATCTGGATTTCTGACAGGTTATATGCCACAAGTGGGATGGAAAAAATACAACCATGCCAATGGCAACTTAACACAGTGGACTAAGAAGCTGAAGGATGCCATGATTTTCAATGGCATCTATTCATATGTATTCAGTCTCATTCTCCCATGTCATAATAAGGATATAGAACCCTGTGCCTATGCCAATTGGAGCATGAATGATTGCCTTGCAATCACTTTCATGAAGTCTGCTCTGGAGGATGTTGGGCATTGTGATCTCATTACAAAGAAAGGTGCACATCACTGCTTCAATGTCATGACCCATCATTTTCGCCTCATCATCCTGCACAACTTCTCTGCCATATGCCTTCCCTGACATGTGCCTTCCCTGCCATCACTGACATGTCCCAACATGCCTTATGCATCAGCCACTCACATCACTGACCTGATCCGCATCTCTGATCGCATCTCCAATGCTCTTTTGAGACAAGATCCCTGAAACATGCCATGACAGCTTGCTGCAGCTTGCCCCCACATCTGACTACCCACAAACTGACCATAAAGGTCTGTGTCATGTGTCTTGGTGCCCCCCTTGTCCCCCTCCAACATTGTTCTGGTGATCCGTCCCGCTGTAATACCTAAACCTTTGTACCACAGTAGTCAGTCCTTAGTCTCGATATTGCCAACCCTTTTGTCCAAGTCTGTTCTACTTTTCTTGTCATACTAAGTCTCCCAGTTCTTCTCAATCTATTTTGTTTTCTGTTTCCACTTGCCAACGCTGCTCTAAGTCCTCTGATCGACCTTTCTCTTGTTGGACTTTGCATCATCGACACCCAAACCCTGACCTCTCGGTGCATCTGGCATTCTCAACAACTAAGACCACTTTGATGCCCTGTAAGTCTATGTGCCAGTTTGCAGATCTCTCTGACTAGTGGATTATTGCTCTAGGTGAGAGCCCCCAGATCAGTGAGACCTGACATTCAAGGACCTTAGGACCTACATGCAAAGGAAGGGACCCATCAAACAAATTGCTCTTCTACAGGAAGCTCTGTCTACATACTGCTTGCAGTCTGAGCCTCTGTTGATCACAGCAGGCCAAATCATTGACACTTTCAAAAGGGCCTTTGACATTGGCACCATTAACGCAAACCTTTTCACTTGCATTGCACTGCTAAACAGCCTCAATGATCCCTCTTTCTTAGTGGGATGTGCACTTAGTGTGTGTTGCAAGGGCTTGTCTTGGCAGATTCCTAGGTACTAGAACTGTACTATTGATATGACAGCTCTCACCATGAGACAAGTTGTATTAAGCAGGAGTTTCCAATATACCCATAATAAGAGCTGAAAACTGTAAGCTCATGTTGAAAAACCATAGATACAGAGAAACTCACTGAGCAAGAAATCACCAATGATCTTAAAAAGATGAGGAAAAGATGAATAAAAATGCCAGCAAACAGCCAGAAGAATGAGAACAAACCTGATCACTATGTTTTGACAACTGAATTTGATCGGCCCACCATCAGCTGAGCCTATCAATGGATTGGTTTTGAGTGCTTACCTGTACCCAATGTCGAAAGACTTGTAAACTCAACTCTCTGCACTTCACCAACCAATTCAATATATGCCAATTTTGAGTGCCCATGACATACCACTATTAACAGAGGTCTGAGGGGGTAGAAGCAAGGAAAAAGAAGTGAGGAATCACTGGAATGGACAAGAGGAATGAAACCACATGGAAATCTGAGAAATCCATTGAGCCCAACCAATGGGCATGCAACTGAGCTCATGTACATGCAGTACATGCAATAGAACATGAGGATTGTATGCTTGGTCCATGCACAAGGGAAAGAGTATAGAAGGGGAGGATTTAGAGGAAGTTGGGGCAAGCAACCTATTGCTGTGCTTGGAGTCCCCAGGAAGTGGACTGCCTAGGCTGACTGTAGACTTGTTTCAGGGTTTTATTGATATAATTGAACCTACCTTTCATTGATCATCTATTTAACTTAAGACAATCAAAATAAATCAATTTAAAATCCAGGAGTTCTCACCATCATTTGTCTATGTATCACATTCTGTGGTTCAGCATTATACTTTCTACCTTATATACAGCATATTGATCTACCACTCAACTTCTCATGAGATTCTAGTTTTGTCTGTAGTATGTGTATCATGTGTTCTATTGTATTTTCAACCAGGATCTGCCTGTGACCAACTGCTGCTGGTATGAATTCAATTCCCAAGGTTGTACTCAGCCAGCCTCATGACAGACTGCATGGAACAATCACCAATATACTAGCAGTGGCATGAATGATATACAAGCCTCTCACCACAAATGAAGGTGTAGGTTAACTTGCTCCCTGTAAAGGTGCATGTGCATGTGTTCCTGTATAGCAGATGGTGGCATTTAGAATTCCAGTCATGTTTATGCTTGCAGAGAGTTTGAGTGGGGTTGAGAGTCTTGCTAAGCACCCCTGGAGAATGATGCATAGGAGTTTACTGGAGTGGGGAATTTGAATCAGTTGTGGTGTGGGGGTTGAGGAGGGGGGAGGGAGGATGATTTGGTGATGTTAAGCACCAGGAGTTGGAGGTGGCCACCACAAACTGCCCACATTGCTGTGAAAATGCATATTTATATTGGCAAAAAGTCTCCAGAACAGATAGCATTATAGGAATCAGACCCCACCTACCTATTTAAATGCTGCAATTTTTGGCAAGCAAGCATGATGACCACTGTACTCAGTAATAATTATAAAAGTACTGATGATAAGTGCTAGCATGTAGATCTCAATCCTGAACATAGGCCTTTATATGAAGCTAGAGCTCAAGGGATCTTACAAGGCTGGAAACAGCAATGTCAAGCTGATCTAGAAGAGGACTTCAATGGTTTGAATCCTCAAAATGACATTCCTCCTGAAGAGGAGTTGGAATATGTTGATGCACCACCTTTGGGTCAAATTATGGAAAATGCTTTGGAGTATCTGCAACAGCCAGCAGACAATGGAGATGATCCTAGACAGGAGGATCCACCAGATGATCCTGCTGTACATATACCAGCAGAAGAAGTGGGACCTCCTTTTGATCCTCCTATCCCTGAAATGGTACAACAGCTTTACTATGATCAGCCTAGAATGGCTCTTCCAAGAGGAAGACAGCCTTACTTGGATGAACCTCCTTCACATTATCTTGGACCTATGAATGTCATATGTCCACATTGTCAAGCTCTACATTTTGATGCTGAAAAGCTCTCCAAGTCTACCAGACACAATC